AGTATGTAACTTGACTACAGTCCTGTAAAGGAATCATTACGTCAGTGTGTTTTAACTTAGATTATCTACCCTGCACTAATATACTCGTCTTCCCCACATATTAACTAGTACGAGCTCGTGCGATGCATGAGACAATAACTATAACTGAATGTAATGAAGCACTATTGATTAGTATAAAAATACCCGTACCACGAGATCTATCTGTTCCTCTTTCCCTTACCCGAATTTTATGATACGACATATGATAATTTAATATATGATTTATATATTTATTTTACTCGTTATAAAAATAGTTTTAGTTTTAGATCCTATTAATAATTAGTAAATAGTTGTAGTTTTAGATCCTATTAATAATTAATAATAAAAATTTAACGTATTCAAACATTATCAATAAATAATACTTACAGAATATATATTTCTCTCTCTCTCTCTCTCTCTCTCTCTCTCTCTCTCTCTTTCTCTCTCTCTCTCTTTATCTTCTCTTATACATACCTTGTTACAACATATTATTTTGATATCTAATTATGATATGTTAAAGTTAAAAAATTGTGACAAATATTATAACCAACACTTAGTTGAAAAAGGTTTAAATATAAACTATTTGAAGTTAAAAAGATTATTAATTTTTAATTACATAAATATTATTTTATTTTTGTATAATTTATAATATTATAAATATTTTAATTTTTTTTCTAGCCTATTAGTTTATTAGAGATTGTTATAATATTGTGAATCGCAGTATGAATGTTTAAAAAGCTGGTTTGGTGCAGTTATTGGTAAAACCAAAAGATATTTTTGAACTCATTGAATAGATAATTTTAGTATATGGCTCGTTACGAAATTAATAAAAAATCATAGTGATTTTTTTGTTAATGTTGAGATATCGATTTTGTTAAAGTACTGTGGTAGTTATATTAATAATATTTTTGCAATTGATTTCTAAATTTATTTTATACTTATATTTTACAATGTTCTCACGCATATTCGATCTACGCATGGTTGAATACCCAATAAAACAGTAGAACACGTGATTTCCTATTAATGACAAAAATTAGTTTATTATTAAAGACAAATAGTTATATTAATTTCTTTTTTGTTATTTTGAAAAATTAGGTTTTATAATTTTTGAAAAACTGAAACGGAGTTATTGATAAATCAAAGGATTCTAAACTAATTATCTGGATTAAATGATGTTTTGAATATATGATAAAAAATGTTTTGGCATATGGTTGGTTACCAAATGAGTACGAATCACTGTGATTTGTTAATGATAAATAAGATTCAGTTGTAACATTGTGATAAATATCATAATAAAACTTCTATAACTAATTTTTATTTTTAGTTAGTAAAATCACCGTGATTTGTTATTAATGTTGATAAATAAGATTCAGTTGTAATATTGTGATAAATATCATAATAAAATTTCTATAACTAATTTTTATTTTTTATTTTATAATTATATTTATAATCTTATCGTGCACATTCAATAATATTTTCCAAAAAACAAAATATGTTTAATAGATTTTTTTGAAAACATGTTGTATGATTCGTCACCAAAAGATTAAATAATTGCAATGATTCGTAATTAATATGAAGAACCGGTTTCTTTTTATTGCGATAATTATCATGAAATAATTTTCAGAATTGGTATCACATTACTTATATAAAAAGACGTGCTATTAATCAGATTGCATAATTTGCAACAGGTAGGTATAATATTAATTTTCATTTTTTATAAATATTAAAGTAATTTTTACGATATTTCGTTTAATAGTAAGTTAATTTATTTAATTACAAAGTAAAAGTACTATTTTAAATTATTGCATCAACATGTTTCAATATATACAGATATTCCCAACCACATTCTATTAGTTACACGTTACACAAAAGACCTCCGACCGGTTGAAAAATCGACCAGGTATGAGCTCTTCGCCGATTGAGCGCCTTTACACCTGTAAAAACTCTCACACCGAAGGAGTTTTCTGGTGAAGAAGCTCTGATGCTTAAGTTAACACTTGTAGAAGTGAAGTGCAACATATGTGCATAGAGTAATAGAGAATACAATGCAATATTGGTCATACATCACTCCTTTATATAGGGAGATGATACCTTATTTCCCAAGACTTCCCGAATGGGCTGCCCGTTCGTACCGCATGAACTGCCCAAACTACCCTCTGTTAGGCCACATAGCCCTATCCACGTGTGACTCTTATCCTATTAAGATTCCTTCTTATCCCTTAGTCTTTTGTATTAGACCGCCTAATTGTGCGACCAGCTTGAATCTTGTCAGAGGTAGAATGTTGCATATGTCGAGCCTAAGTGTTGTCTTTCTAGTCAATTGCTCGACCATCCATAACTTCAGTTCGAGTTTTCAATACTCCATCTGTGGGCCCTAGTTTGATATGTTATTGTTACTTTAAACCCATTCACGTTTTCTTCGACCTAAAGACTACTTGCTTCATACTGACTTTGGACCTCCGTTCGGTCGTCATGTGACTATCTGTTCGACCAATCTAGTTCTTTCAGCCTAGTCGGCTTCCTGGTGTGATATCACATATCATCTGGTCCCCCGGTCTTTCCCCACTATGGCGAGTTAGGATAACTCGATCTATGAGTAGATTTGTCCATGATTTTGGTTGGTGAATTCTAGCTTTTTTATTTTCGACCTATCTACATGCATTTCCCTCATTTATGCCTTGTCATCTTCGACCTCCTCCTATGGTCTTCAATTCAAATTTCAAATTTCAAACAGTTGTCATCTTGTAGATCCCATCAATCAGAACGTTTGGCTGACGTCACTGCCTACCAAGTCACACTGTTGTGTACGATGTACCCATTAAATGCCTTATTAATGCCATTTGTTAGATCTTCCTTCAACTTCGTCCTCCTACAATCTCAGCCCTTGATTCCAATCGAGATCCAACGACCCTACTCACACCGCCTCTTCAAGTTACCTCATCCATCCTATTCGTTGGTTTGATTGTGATCCAATGGCCAGGGTCAATCGAATCACGCACCCTTCACCTAAATATCCTCAAGACCGAACTTTTCCCTTTTTCACCTTTGCAAAACTATTCTTTAGCAATATCCGCTCTCTCTCTCTCTATGTCTCTCTCTTTTTGTAAGTATCTTCCAGACTCCATTGCAACCAAGGTTCTTCTTCGAGTTCTTCAG